TGGAACCATGACGAGGAAGTCGGACGTGGATCTCAGTCGGCAAGGCTTAATTGTCAGCAAACGACCATGAACCTGTTCGATTTATCAACATAAATAATTACCCTGTGACGATTGGCAAAAAAACGAAGATTGGAACCTGTGTCCCGGCAGCCTCCATAATCCACCAGGTGAAAGCAACCACTGTTGGGGCCGGCAAGTATAAAGAACTTGTCTCTGCTGCAAGCGACTCACTCAACAACCGACAGAAGAAGAAGTTAACCGAGTTACTGCAGAGGTATAGATCCATTTTCATACCTGCCAATGGAAAAACAGGTAGAACCAACATCGTCAGTCACAAAATCGATACGGGAGATACCAGAGCGATTCGTCAACCAGCCCGGAGATAACCACAGGCCAAGAGAGAAATTGCAGAAAAGATCATCCAGGATATGAAACAAGACGGAGTAATCGAGGCATCCAATAGTCCTTGGGTTTCACCAGTGGTACTAGTGAAGAAGAAAGATGAAAACACCCGTTTCTGCGTGGACTATCGCCGCTTGAACAACGTGACGAAGAAGGACAGTTATCCTTTGCCTCGAATTGACGACACACTCGACACGTTGGCGGAATCGAATCTTTTCTCCACCCTGGACCTGAAGAGTGGATATTGGCAGGTGGAAATGGATCCGGCAGATAAGGAAAATACAGCTTCCACCATCGGCACTGGATTATAGCAATTCAAGGTGATGCCTTTCGGACTCTGCAATGCTCCGGCCACCTTCGAACGAATCATGGAGAATGTGTTGAGGGGACTCTCCTGGAAGACATGCCTGGTTTATTTGGATGACATCATCGTAATCGGAAAAACTTTTGAAGAACAACTGGCTGACCTAGAGGAAGTCTTCGAAAGACTTCAGGCTGCAAACCTCACACTCAATCTGAAGAAATGTCATCTACTGCAGAAACGGTTTAACTACTTGGGACACGTCGTAGAAACGCAGGGTGTGGAAGTCGACCCTGAAAAGGTACAAGCAGTGAAGCAATGGCCAGTACCAAAAGATGAGCATCAACTCATGAGCTTTCTTGGACTCTGCACTCATTATCGACGTTACGTTCGAATGTTTTCGGATATCGCAAAGCCCCTGACGCGTCTCACCGAGGAAGCACGTTCCTTTCACTGGGATCCAGAAGGCCAGGCCGCCTTTGATGCTCTGAAAGAACGCTTGACCACAACACCGATTCTTGGGTATCCACTTCCACAAGGACAATTCATTCTTGACACAGATGCCAGTAATATCGGCATTGGTGGAGTCCTTTCGCAGTATCAAGATGGGCAAGAGCGAGTCATCGGTTACTTCAGCAAGGTGCTATCGAAGGCAGAACGAAACCACTGCGTTACCAGGAGAGAACTATTGGCCATGGTAAAATCGGTGGAGCACTTCTATAAGTACCTCTATGGACGAAAATTCCTACTCAGGACAGACCACGCTGCATTGAAGTGGCTCCTGAATTTTAAGAACCCCGAAGGCCAAGTAGCTCGTTGGATCGAGAGGCTTCAGAAATATGACTTCGAGATAGCACACCGAGTGGGTTCGGGCCATAAGAACGCAGATGCATTGTCCAGAAGGCTATGTCCACCTGAGTGCTCACATTGTAGTCGTTTGGAGGATGAGGAAGCAGCCCTCTACAGAACCACCGTTGTCAATGAAGATTGGTCACCTGCAGCAATCAAGCAAGAGCCAGAACTGCGGATGCTTCGATAATGGAAGAAAGTGAATCGCCGTCCTTCTTGGCAAGAAGTAGCACCATCTTCACAGATTTTGAAGGCGTACTGGAGTCAGTGGAACTCCTTGGTATTAGAAGATGACCTGCTCAAGAGGAATCTCGAGAGCGATGATGGGTCGGATAATCGTATGCAGTTGGTCATTCCTAGGAGCCGAGTGTCGGAAGTACTCGGATATGTACATGATGGAACTTCAGGGGGACATCTAGGAGTGAGGAAGACACTGCAGCGGGTACGAGAGCGGTTCTACTGGGTGAAATGCAGTGACGACGTCAGGGAGTGGTGCCGTAAATGCACCGTGTGCATTGCCAGCAATGCGCTTTATCGTAAACCAAGGGCACCCATGAGACAGTACAATGTTGGAAGCAATTTCGAGAGGATTGCTATGGATATTGCGGGGCCGTTCCCAGTGACTGATGATGGAAATAAATACATCCTTGTCTGCATGGACCACTTCACCAAGTGGGTGGAAGCGTATGCGATCCCTAACCAGAAAGCCGTAACTGCCGCCGATGTCCTAATAAATCAACTCATCCGTCGTTTTTGGGGTGCCATTGGAACTTCACTCTGATCAGGGCCGGAACTTCGAGAGTGAAGTGTTCAAGAAGATGAGCAAGAAGTTAGAAATCAAGAAAACGAGAACAACTTCATTGCATCCACAGTCAGATGGCATGGTGGAGCGAATGAACCGAACCATAGGGAGGTATATCTGCAAAGTCGTAGATCAACACCAACAAGACTGGGATCAACATCTTCTTTTCTTCTTGATGGCTTACATATCTGCGGTACAGGAATCTAAAGGGCAGACTCCGGCGAAGGTTTTATTTGGACGAGAGATGAGGCTTCCATGTGACTTGGTCTTCGGATATAGACCTGGTGAGGACATAGTAAGGGAAGATTATGTTACGAATCTGATGAGAAAGATGAACGATATTCACGGATTGGTTCGTTTTAATCTGAAAATTGCCAGCGATCGCATGAAAGACCGGTACGACATCAGAGCTGGGAGTGCAGGATACGCAGAAGGAGACCTGGTGTGGTTGTACAATCCACAAAGGAAACGAGGTATTTGTCCAAAACTACAGAGATCTCGAGAAAGACCTTTTACCGTCAAGAAGAAGATCAACGATGTCATATACCGCATCAATAAAGAACCTAGTGGCAAACCAAGAGTCGTTCATTTCAACAAACTAGCATCATTCGAGGGAACACAAGATCAACAAGTTCAAAAAATTCGTCCGGAAGAAAAGGAGCTTACATTCGACGAATTCATTGGGACATACAGTGATTCATCGAGAGCAAGGTTTGGCGTCACCAAGGAAGAGCACCGCGACCTTTTTGCCATTCCTGTAGAATACGCACTAGCTCACTGCGTCGCCGAGGACCTTCAGATGTCTCAAGGAATAGCGAACAAGTTCATGAGGAAGTTCGGGAAGTTAGAAGAGCTTCATCAACAAGGTCCCTCCGTCGGTCGAACACTAGAAATAGAAGATATCAGCGCTGAAGGAAGAAGGTCTCTGTTTTATCTTATAACGAAAGGAAGATCTTCTGAGAAACCCACTTACAAGGACCTATATGAGACGCTAGTCGACTTCATACTCGAGAAGGACATACAGAAGATAGCTGTTCCAAAGCTGGGGTGTGGACTGGATGGCTTGAATTGGAGAGTTGTGAGGAACATGCTAGAGGTTTTATTTAGATTCACTGGAGTTGAAATTCTGGTATGCTGCTGGAACTCCAAGGGAACTCCAAGAGAGAAGACAGTGCCATGCTATTTCTACCATACTGCACGTTGTGAAAATGAAACCAGTTGTCCCTATCTTCATAGTGATCAGAATGCATTCCAGGAGGAATGCGTTTTAGGGAGGGGGCAGTGCAATGATATACCCCTTGGAGGGGCTTTAGAAACATCAGCAGGATGTCAGGAGTACAACGATCATCCTGTATCACGCATCCCAGATTGCTCTCCAACCTCTCAATGATTCCTACATACACCAGCATATTTCGGAACACTCAATATATGCCGCAGTGACAAAGAACGTCACAGAATATTCTGGAATGTTCTGGAAACAATCGATAGGACAATAAAAGAGAGAGGTTTTGTTCTAAGAAGCTTCTAGAACAAAAAGAAGGAGACGGAAGATCATTCGAGAACGTTCTAGAGCCACAGCCTGCCTGTGTTCTCATATATAAGACGGCCGAACAACTGAGTCAGTCAGTCAAACAGCGAGTGTCAGAGAGACAGTTATATACCGCGTGTTATGAATCGTTTTACATAAATAGTAGTTATAAGTTCGATATGAATAAGTGTTTCTTTAGTTCAAATGAATCAGTTCGAAAATAAATAGTGTCGTGTTCGCTTCTGCACCCGATTAACGTAACAATAGGAAAAGAGAGATATAGTGTGCACAACGATGAAGTCGATGTATCTTCATTCGCCTACTGTACTCGTTATTATCCCTTCGAAGTCGTCTTATACGGTCACTGCAATCGTTACTGCATCAACTGTATGCATGTCAGATGCTAGACTGCAAAGTTACAGTGTGGACATAGTCGAAGTTTCTTGTTCTGCAAGTTGTGTGCGTTATACCCGCTTGAACGTCGTCTCATTTGGACATTGCAAACTTGTCTGATTCAATGGTATTCATGTGAGATGATAGGATAGAGGGATAGAGTATGCACTCCGATAAAATCGATGTATCTTCATCTGCCTAATGTTCTTTTTATATACCCGTCAAAGTCATCTTATATGGTTCATGTGAAATGATAGGATAGAGATATATGTGTACACGACGATGAAGTCGTTGTATCCCCATTTGCCTATTTCACTCGTTATATACCCTTCAAAGTCGTCTTATACGGTCACTGTCATCGTATCTGCTTCAACTGTATGCATGTCAGATGCTGGACTGCAGAGTTACAGTGTGAACATAGTCAAAGTGTGTGTGGTATGCTTTAGTAGTAATAAGCTCACGTGAGTACCTTAGCAAATAAACGTTCATTTAAACTGGTTCCAAGTGACAAACAAATCTCAGAAACTACATGTAATATCACTGAGAGTGTAGAATTACATCCACATATAACTCACTGAAATTTGGACCAGGAATTAGTATTAAACGGAGTAGTTTTCCTTTTGTTTTGATAGCAGCGCAATTGAACTCTTATCAGTGATTCCCATCATTAGTATCGTTTCTCGGCGAGTTAATAAAGCGAATCATACACTGCGATTTCTGTGAAAATGCCCGATAATGAGACTGCAGTTACAAATAAATTGATTCTCGAGGAAATCATTAGGACTAGGAGCGAACTGAAGAACTCTATTGAAGCAAGTGAGGCGAGGCTATTGTTGAAAATAGAAGAAGCGAATAACAAAATAAAGGAACTCGAAGAGGAGAACGACAATCTCAAAGGAAAAATAGAGTATCTTGAAAGAGATAAGAAGAAGAAGAATATTATAGTATTCGGACTAAACAGAGCAAGTGAGAATATAACACTCGAAGTAATTTGCAACGAAATTGAAACGTTACTAGACGTCGAAGTAAGCAAATCAGACGTAAGTGACATATATACCATAGGAAAAGGTCAAAACCGTCCGGTGAAAATAGAATTCACAAACTATATGATAAAAAACTTAATTCTCAAAAACTGTTTCAAACCGAAGGGTAAACATATCAAAATTGCGAACGATCTCACACCTAAACAAAGAAAAGAAGGAGAAATACTGAGGAAACACCTTTCTCTTGCTCGTCTAGACGAAAACAATAAGAACTGTTACATTAAAGGAAACAAACTCATAGTAGATAATAAATCATATGCACCAGAAGACCTCGAGAAAATAGTGATAAACGAAGACACTATCCCAGCAAGACCAAATAGTGCACCAGCAACACCTACTCTCCAATTAACAAATCACGCTATCGTCAAGAAACAAGAACAAACTGCCATAAACAAACCTATCAATAAAGCAGAATCATCTGTTAAGGTTGCAGAAACTCCTAGAAATAAAAAACAGGAAAAGGAAATTCCTGCAATTGGTATACCAAAAGTTACTAGAAGCCGAACAGGCTCTAGCTCAAATAATAAATTATAATTTATTCATTTATTTTATTTTACTTTTAATTAAAATTGTCTCGGTATTTTGAAAATCTTGATGTTTATATTTTTTTTTCTCTTTAACTATATATTAATAATCTGTGTTGTTACATTAGGATAATATTAGTCATTCATTATCATAAAACAATATGGATGAGTTTATCCGGAATCTGGAAGTAGAAGATATTGATACAATCGAATTGGAAACAAAATTCTCTGATATATTCCAAAACCATAACAACTCGTTCTCCATTTTACACAATAATATCAGGAGTATTGCCAAAAATTTTGATGAATTCCAGGTATTTATGTCTGAATTCCATGATTGTTCTTTCGATTGTCTGGTTCTAACTGAGTCCTGGAATCAGAATATAAAAGACTACCAACTATTCAACCTTGAAGGATATAACATGTTCTATAATAGCGAAGCTTACAATCAGAATGACGGGGTGGTGGTGTATATAAATGAAGATCTACAAGAGGTTCAATGCCAGTCAATAAAAATTAACGATGTCAACGCCTTACACATTTCCTACAAAATTGAATCCAAATCTTTCGAAATATTAGCCATTTATAGACCACCTTCAACATCAGCCGCAGATTTTATACAAGGGCTCGCAGAATACCTCCGTCAACTAACGTTTTCTGATTATTATATCATAATTGGTGACATAAACATCGATATCCTTGACATAAATAATGAATTTTCTCATGAATATTTGAATGTATTACATGAATTTGATTTTATATCACTTGTTAATAAATACACGAGAGTAACTGATTCAACAAATTCATGTATAGATCACATGTTTCTCAAATGTCGTAGGAGTCCTGATACAGAAAATGTAAAATCATTCATTTTGAAGACAAATATAACCGATCACTTTTCCATTGCAGCTACCATTAGTAACCCAATCTTAGAAAAAAGTACTGAATGTTACTACTTCAAGAAACAACTATCACAGAGAAAACTACTGACATCTATGAAATTGGAATCATGGATGGAAGTTTATAACTCTACAGACCCTGAAATTTGCACTAAAAATTTCATTGAAAGCTTAACCCAACACATTAATGAAGCAACAACAATCAGCAAAATCAAAGTTAGAAAGAAAAAGAAACCTTGGATAACTAATGGTATCATCACTGCTATGAAAACACGTGATAAACTGTTTCTAAATTTCATTAAAGAGAAAAACATCATGAGTAAAGAAGAAAAAAAGCAAGAATATTTGAATTACAGGAATAGAATCAATCAGTTAGTGAGAAAGACCAAATCAGAATATTATAAGTGTAAAATAGAAGCGAATAAAAAATGTACCAAAACTATGTGGAAAACGATCAATGAGGCTACAAATAAGAACTCGAATAAAAATCAAGAATCAATAACAAAACTTGAAATGGATGATAATGAAGGAGTTTCAGAAAAAAACTTGATAGCAGATAAGTTCATCGACTTTTTTTCAGATGTTGGAGAAACATATGCCAAGAAAATAATACATCAGAGGGGTGATAGTGTGCATCCTCTTCCTAGTGTCAGAGAGTCTATTTTTCTCAATCCAACCAATGAAAAAAAAATCGAAACAATCATTTCACAATCAAAATGTAATAAGGCACCTGGTATGGATGAAATCACAAATGAAAATTTGAAAATTTGTATCGCGTATATCACGAAACCACTATGTTACATTATAAATCAGATTATCTCTTATGGCGTGGTACCATCATTTTTCAAAACTGCCCTGATCAAGCCCCTATTCAAAATAGGTAGTAAACTTAAATTGACCAATTATAGGCCGATATCCTTGATTTCCACAATCGCTAAGATTTTCGAGAAAGTTATTAAAATTCGTCTCAGTAATTACCTGGAAAAAAATAAACTTTTAAATGATATGCAGTTCGGATTTCGTCAAGGTAGGTCCGCGGAAGATGCCATAATTGCACTCACAAATAAAATCTATAACAGCTTGGACAATAAAAAACCCTCACTTTGTGTTTTTATAGACTTGGCAAAGGCTTTCGACACAGTGTGTCACGAGTCATTGCTGACTAAACTTGAAAATATTGGTATTCGCGGACTGGCACTTGAACTGTTTCGAAGTTATCTCTGCGATAGGAAACAGAGAGTCAAAATTGAAAACACACTGAGTAAGGAGAGAATTGTGACCTATGGTGTCCCCCAAGGTACAGTCTTAGGTCCTATTCTCTTCACGATATATATCAATGACTTACTGGCTTTATCTCCTGCTAACATTATTTCCTATGCTGATGATACAGCAATATTCTTTGAGGGCAATACATGGATTGAGGTTCAGGAGGAGGCAAAACTACTTCTGAGAGATATTAAAATATGGCTTGACTCTAACCTTCTCACATTGAATCTAGAAAAAACCAAATATCTCCCGTTTGTATCATATAATAGCCACTTACCAAATTTCTCATCTATTCCTGTAGATGATAAAGATATTGAAGGAGTCACAGAAATTGAATATCTGGGTATCTATATCGATAGTTTCTTAAGATGGGATATACAGATAGAGAGAACTGTGGAGAAAATGAGAATATTGATGTATAAATTCAAAGTTCTAGGAAGATTCATGGAATTCAGACATCTCAAAACAGTTTATTTTTCACTTATAGAATCGATTCTTAACTATGGCATATTAGCCTGGGGTGGTGTCAAAAAAACTCATTTGAATATACTCAATATGTCACAGAAAAGAATACTCAAACTCATTATGAAAAAAGACATGAAATATCCTACTGAATCATTATACAATGAAGCTCAACTTCTCGATATAAGACAACTCTTCTGCAAAAATATTTTGTTATATTTCTTCAATAACAGAACCTCTTTAGAAGCGCTGAATCACCCGTACGAGACGAGACAAAAATCCAAGAAATTATACAAACAAGACAAAGCTAATAAAAGCTGTGGCCAAAGATTTTATAAATACATTGGGCAGAGGCTATTCAACAATTTGCCAGAACCGATGAGAGAACCAATGAATTTCTTCACATTCAAAAAAAGAATATTCATATGGATAATGGAAAACAGAAGTTTTATCAGCTCATTACTAGATTCATAATATTGTTTTCTGATGAACCTTCGTGAGAATAAAAAAAAAAAACAAAAAAAAATATGATAAGCATATATTATATTATTGTCGTTTATTGTCGTTTATTGTAGTTTTTTTTTTTAATACTCAATGCAGTGTGCGTATCAATAATTTAAAAAATATATATATAATTTGTCAGATAAATTTTTAGGTGAAAACACAAATGGCACAAAGTCATGATTTGGAATATAAAAGTATCTGTTTCAGGTAATATGACTATTCGTAGACAAGCTCTTAAGCTTAAACGGAATCACAGTCATATTTATTTATAATCATAAATCATGTGCCGTCTCTAATATTGTCATATTTTGTTATATGTATTATGTATTATAAATAAATATATTATTATTATTATTATTATTATTATTATTATTATTATTATTTAAAGTAGGAGTTTCTCGTTCTGCAAGCTGTGTGATTTTAACCCACTTGGGAGTCGTCTTATATGGTCAATGCAAACTTGTCTACTCAAAAGTTTCAAGGTAAGATGATAGGATAGAGAGATAAAGTGTGCACAACGATAAAGAAAATGTGTCTATATTTGCCTATTGTTCCCGTTATAAACCCTTCAAAGTCGTCTCATACGGTCACTGTCATTGTATCTGCTTCAATTGTGTGCATGTCAGATGAAAGACTGCAGAGTTAAATTGTTAACATAGTCAAAGTCGAAGTTTCTAGTTCTGCAAACTGCAAACAAAGTCAAAGTCGAAGTTTCTTGTTCTGCGAGCTGTGTGCGTTTCACCCGCTTAGAAATCGTCTAATATGGTCAATGCGAACTTGTCTGTTCCGATAGCGTCCATGTGAGATGATAGGATAGAGAGATATAGTGTAAAAATATGAAGTCGATGTTTTCCCATTTGCCTATTGTACTCGTTATATACCCTTCGAAGTCGTCTCATACGGTCACTGCCATCGTATCTGCTTCAACTGTATGCATGTCAGATGCTGGACTGCAGAGTTACAGTCGAAGTCTAAGTTTCTTGACTTGCAAGCTGTGTGCGTTAAACCTGCTTGAAAGTCGTCTCATATGAACATTGCGAACTTGTTTGCTTCAATAGTGTTCATGTGAGATGATTGGATAGAGAGATATTGTGTGCACAACGATGAAGTCGAAGTTTCCCAATTTGCCTATGGTACTCGTTATATACCCTTTAAAGTCGTCTAATACGGTCACTTCCATCGTATCTGCTTCAACTGTATGCATGTCAGATGATCGACGGCATGGTTACAGTGTGAACATAGTCGAAGTCGTAGTTCCTTGACCTGCAAGATGTGTGCGTTATACCATCTTGGGAGTCGTCTAATATGGTCAATGTGAACTTGTCTGCTCCAATATTGTCCATATGAGATGATAGGATAGAAAGATATAGTAAGCACAATGGAGTCGATGTATCTTCATCTGCCTATTGTACTTGCTATAAACCCTCCAGAGTCGTCTTATGTTACTACGATCATATCTACTTCAACTGTATGCATGTCAGATGCTAGACTGTAGAGTTACAGTCGAAGTCGAAGTTTCTTGTTCTGCAAGCTGTGTGCATTTAATCTGCTTGGAAGTCTTCTCATATGGTCATTGCGAACTTGTTTGCTTCAATATTGTCCATGTGAGATGCTTGGATAGAGAGATATTGTGTGCACAACGATGAAGTCGATGTATCTTCATTTGCTTATTGAACTCGTTATATACCCT